AGCAACAAATAAAATAATGGCAACACATATTAGTTCAATCACTTAATAGCTGCTGATAATAGTTCAACAACATAATAGTTCAGTCATTCTCCCTCATTCGCATCAGCAAAAAGGAAAGAAGAAAACATAAAAATAACAACAGTATTAAAGAGAGGGCAACAAAGCCCTTTATAAAACCAGCAGAAGATCATAAACACAATAAAGACAAATAAATTAGAGAGGGTGCAGGAAGTAGGTAAGCGTTTTGACAATGGTAGTGGACATCTGCTCGAACCTAGAGGAAAGAGAGGTAAAAATGGATTTAGAGCCTGCCTGGACCTTACTAGCAATCTTAATAACCTCTTTGATAATACGGTTGAGCCTTAGACGATGCGAGCCACTTCTGCACCAGTCTCTTTGGTGACTTCCTTAAAAACATCTATCTTGAAGTGAGAAGGAAGTAGTACATCTTTGAGGGAGTCCACCACTTCTCTCATTGCAGTCACAGAAGACATAAGGTCACTTACTTGAGTGACAGATATGTTAGAGCATCCAATATGACATCTATATCAGCTAGCTTATGTGAGCATGTGCCACGCATATATATATATATATAGTGAAAGAGGGTCGATTTATTTTTATCGCACACCACTCTAGGCAGTCTTACAACGTCTGTAACACTCAGCCTACTTGCACCCATGAATATTGACTAAGTATAGAAATACATAAAACAGCACGTCAAACAACCAACAAAATTTACAGGAACCAGTCCCAACCTTTATTAAACTTGAATTAATACAAAAGAAGGCTTCACGAATTAGTCTAGGGCTAGAAAAACACTCTGATTCTGCCTTAGACAAATTTCCACCTTTTAATCAAAATTCTGCACAATGGCAGTTACATGCGGCGGTTATAAATGACACCTGTCTAACACTTGTCATCACAGGGTTCAAAACTAACTTTCCAACAGCTATATTTCTAATATATAGAATCTAATTCAAATTACATTCTTATCTACACGAAATACTAATATTCTAACACTTAGAATATTTCAGGCTTCATTCCAACACTTAGAATATTTCTGCCAGCTTCCAACACTTAGAATATTTTAGATGTCTTCTAACACTTGAATTATTTCAGCAATTTCGGGTGAACTGTCTTTGTTCCTGACATTGCCAAGTCTTCACAGCCTTGCCTCATCAAGTCAACATGCTGTCTTGCCAATGCCCTTAGCCCGCACGTAAGCCATGCACGTTCAAGCTGCCTTGCCAACACCCAAGCACCTTGAACTTGTGTTGCACTATTTTGCAATCATCTATGTCAAGACCAATGCCCAAGTTCATGACATGCCTGCACATAGTTAGATCAAGTAGATTGCGGGTCTAACAGACCACCCGCACCACTTGAACTCGATGTCCTCATCGAGACTGTTTTGAGATAGTCCTCGATTTGAGCATCAAACTACCATAGGTCTTTTGCTTTCTCCCAAACAACATCTGCTGCACTCTTGCCTTTCCAGTGAACCAAGAATTCAGTCTTAGTATTCTTCTTACTTGTGCCCAAAACCCGGTGATCAAGGATATTCTCAATTTTAGCATCATACTGTGTAGGTACTGATGGAGGTGCCCTCTTTGACCTGTTTCTGTTCGGATCATCCGCATTTGCAAAGTAAGGTTTCAAGAAACTCACATGGAAAGTGGGATGGGTTTTCAACCTTTCTGGCAGCTTCAACCTATAATCAACTTCGCCTACTCGTTTCACCACTTCGAATGGACCATCATACTTACGATTCAAACCCCGATGTCTGGTCTTACTTACAATTTGTTTCCAGATTTGTGGGGTAGGTTTCAGCAACACCTTGTCACCCATATGGAAATCAACTGAGCAACAATGCTGATCAGCATATTTCTTCATGCGCAGCTGAGCCTTGCGCAAGCTATCTTGTGCCTCACATAACATTTCAAGTCTGTCCCTTGCAACCTTGTATGCTGCTGGACACTTTTCCTGATTTTTAGATTTGGCAACATCTAGTGGTGTCATAGGCTGTCTGCCTAAGACGATTTTAAAAGGGCTCATTTTTGTTGCAGACAACTTGTGCAGATTATAGAAAAAATGGGCAGTGTCTAACAATGCTAACCAATTCCGTTGACTTGCTGTCACATAGTGCCTCAAGTATTCCTCCAACAAGTGATTAATTCTTTCCGTCTGTCCATCTGTTTGTGGGTGATTTGCAGTAGAAAATTTTAATTCAGTTCCCATCATATTGAACAATGCTGTCCAAAATCTACCAGTGAACCTTGTGTCTCTAACACTCACAATGTCAGCCGGAACACCAAAATACTTAACTACATGTTTGTAGAACAACTCAGCAGCAACTTCAGATGAACATAATTCAAGAGCAGCAATAAAAACAGAATATTTTGAAAACCTGTCAACTACCACCATGATAGATGCTTTGCCATCTACTTTAGGGAATCTAGAAATGAAATCCATGCTTACTGATAGCCATAGCCTTTCAGGAACAGGCAAAGGTTGCAGCAAACCTGCTTCCTTCTTACGTTCAGTCTTGTCCACTTGAAAAACATGACAAGTCTTGACGTACGCCTCTATATCGTCTTCCATTTTCGGCCAAAAATAAACACGAGACAGTAAGGTTAACATCCGTTGAACACCGGGATGTCCAGCCCAAGCAGAGTCATGCACCTCTTTCAATAAGTCTTTGCACATCCCGCCCTGATTTGGTACAACGATCCTCCCCCCTTTAAAATAGAGCAGATCGTCCTCAATCCTATACCGTCTCATTGTTCCATCATGCACTTGACCCATCCATTTAACATACAATGAATCATTTTCAGCACACAGCCTGATTCTATCATAGAAATTAGTTTCCAGTTTTGAAATTGAATATACTACAACAAACACTTCTTTTCTACTCAGTGCATTAGCAACCTGGTTGTGTTTTCCTGGTTTATGTTCCCACATGAAATTATATTCTGCCAGGAATTCTTCCCATCGTGCTTGTTTAGGACTCAACTTTTTCTGTGTCTTGAAAAATATATTAGCTACATTATCAGTTCTCACTACAAATCGAGTGCCCAAGAGATCGACTCTCCAAACCTGCAAACAGTGTACCACCGCAACCATTTCCTTTTCATGTGTTGAGTATCTCTGTTCAGCATCATTCAATTTTCTACTTTCAAAGGCCACTAGATGACCTTCTTGCACTAATACACCACCAATTGCTTTGTCTGATGCATCAGTGTGCGCTTCAAATGGTAACTCAAAAATAAAGCAATTTGATTATAGATTCAGATGTGATAGCATTCTTCAAATTCTGAAATGCTTCATCACACCGTTCAGACCAAACCCACTTTGTATCCATTTTCAACAAATCTATCAAAGCCGCTACCTTCTTTGAGTAACCAGCAATAAACTTTTTGTAATAGTTAGCCAAGCCAAGAAACGACCTCAAATCCTTCACATGACGAGGTGCCTACCAATCAACAATGTCTTGCATTTTCTTAGGATCCATTCAAACTTGGTTTTTACTAACAAGATTCCCCAAGAACTTTATCTCTTGTTGAGCAAATTCACACTTTTCCATCTTGACATAAAGCGTATATTTCTTCAATTGAGACAAAACCAAACTTAGGTGATTAACATGTTTTTCCAATGTTTGACTATAAATGACAATATCATCTAAATAAACAACAACAAAGTCATCAAGATAGTCAAAGAGTACATTGTTCATTAAGTTGCAAAACGTTGTCGGGACATTTGTCAGCCCAAATGGCATTACAAGGAATTCATAGGAACCATATCTAGTTACACAAGTTTTTCTGGTTCATCACCCTCTGCTATCCTAACCTGCCAATAACCTGCCCTCAGATCAAGTTTTGTGAACCAGCATGCTTTGCTTTACCTGTCCATCAAATCTTGCACCAACGGAACCGGATACTTGTTCTTTATAGTATCCTTGTTCAGCGCCCGGTAGTCTACACACATTCGCATTGTTTCGTCCTGTTTATTTTGAAATAGAACAGGAGAACCGTATGGGGCCTTAGACGGCTGAATCACTCCAGCATCTAGTAATTCATTCAATTTTTTGCGTAATTCAACCAATTTCTTAGGAGCCATACGATAAGGAGCCTGTGTAGGAGCAACCATACCAGGCAGTAACTCAATCTTATGATCAATATCCCTCTTTGGTGGTAATTTCTTTGGTAATTCAGGTGGCATAACATCAGCATACTGTTTAAGCAATTCAGCAACACAATCAAGCACTTCCATTTTCACATCAGGTTTTACTTCGACCAAGGCAGCAAGTATAGTGTCCTCGCCCTTCTTCAGCCCTTTGTCGAATGACATAGCAAACAACAACATTCCCTTGTCTTTCTTCTTTGCAACTTTATTAATGTTCCCAAACGGATGAACACCTTTGAGAAAGCCAGCATTGCTTCCATTCATGACCATCATTCCATCTAAGTGAGGAAACAGAACAAACTATAATTTCCGTAGGAAATCAATCCCAAGTATGATTTCAAAGTCACCAAGTGGCATCATCATCAAGTTATGTTTTCCCACCAAACATCAAGTTGACATAGACACACCATAAGCCATGCCCACAATGGCTTGTGCCTTAGCATTGACTATTTTGACGTAGGAAGGGCTTTTACACAACTAGCAATTTTCACATCTACAAACGTATGTGTGGCCCCTGTATCAACCATTGCCAGCACACGTTGTTCTTTTACTTTCATTTCTATATGAATTAATCAAGAATGAGGATTCGAAGTACTAGAGATTTCTTCAACATTATTAATCCCCGTAATATGAATGAAGGACAATCCCAATGGGTTTGCCATTGCAGCCACAATTTCTTCATCCTCCTCCCTCTTATTCATATTACTAGCAAGAAAAGCATTCCCTTTTTCCCGGTTTGGACAAGATTTGGCCAAATGAGGACCACCACAAGTCCAACAGCCCTTCGAATTTCCATCTTTATTCTTTGGCATGTCTTTTCAATCCTTCATTTGTGCCTTTCCTTTATCATTTGTATTATCTTTACAACTATCCTTTCTCCGTTTACCTTTCTTCTCATTCTTTTTCTTAGTTTTTGAAATGGAGGGGACGTCTGTCGAACGACGAGTCATCCGAAAATCCACTAACGAATTGGCAGCAGCAATTGCCCCGGGCTGATCTTTAACATTCTGCCTCCATAGTTCGTTTTGAGCCCAGCCTTGCATGCTCGAAATGACGTTGTGAAGTTTATCCTCATCAGACATATTCTGTATGTCTAAAATCACAGAGGTAAATTCATTTATGTATTCCCTCACTGAACCCGTCTGCCTTAGCCTTTTCAATTTATCCCTAGCAAGCCAAGATGCATTGCTAAGAAGAAATTGATCAAGCATTACTTTGATTAGCTTATCCCATGTATCAATTCTAGGACGACCAACACTTACATCGTCTACATTACGAGTCCTCCACCAAAGTTTCGCATCACCCGACAAATACATTGTGGTAATATTCAACTTTTCCGCGTCAGGCACCCTTGCAGCAGTAAAATACAATTCCATGTCCCAGATGAAATTTTCCAGTTCTTTAGCATTCCTTGCGGCGCCACAAAGGCCTTAGGTTCTGGAATCTTAACCTTAGATGATTCAACACGATTTGAACTCAACGTAGCCAAAGCCCGACAAAAAACAATGAGCTCTGCACGAAGGTTCTCATTTTCCTTCTGCAGTCCGTCCAGTTTTTGCGTAGTTGTGGTATGAAAGTCCAAGATCTCAGTGATGTGGTTATCAACATTCTGTCGATATCCACCAATCTCCCCCTGAACTTTCTCAGCGTCAACTCACAACTCAATAATTTGTGTGAATAAATCCAAAAACGTAGGGTCTACCAAAATATATTCAGTAAACCCGATGAAGGATTCAATTTTCCGTGCCAATTCCCACAATTCTGAGTTTTCACCACTGATTAACCACGCTCTTATAATAATTGAAAGAGGGTCGATTTAGTTTTATCGCACACCACTCTAGGCAGTCTTACAACGTCTGTAACACTCAGCCTACTTGCACCCATGAATTTTGACTAAGTATAGAAATACTTAATATGGCAGCGTCAAAAAACCAATAGAATTTACAGGAACCAGTCCCATCCTTTATTAATCATGAATTAATACAAAGGAAGGCTTCACGAATTAGTCTATGGCTAGAAAAACACTCTGATTCTGCCTTAGACGAATTTCCACCTTTTAATGAAAATTCTGCACAATGACAGTTACATGCGGCGGTTACAAATGACAACTATCCGACACTTGTCATCAGAGGGTTCAAAACTAACTTTCCAACAGCTATATTTCTAAAAGATAGAATCTAATTCAAATTACATTCTTATCTACACAAAACACTTATATTCTAACACTTAGAATATTTCAAGCTTCATTCCAACACTTAAAACTAACTTTCCAACAGCTATATTTCTAACAGATAGAATCTAATTCAAATTACATTCTTATCTACACAAAACACTTATATTCCCGACAAAAAACAATGAGCTCTGCACGAAGATTCTCATTTTCCTTCTGCAGTCCGTCCAGTTTTTGCGTAGTTATGGTACGAAAGTCCAAGATCTCAGTGATGTGGTTATCAACATTCTGTCGATATCCACCAATCTCACCCTGAACTTTCTTAGCGTCAACTCACAACTCAATGATTTGTGTGAATAAATCCAAAAACGTAGGGTCTACGAAAATATATTCAGTAAACCCGATGAAGGATTCAATTTTCCGTGCCAATTCCCACAATTCTGAGTTTTCACCACTGATTAACCATACTCTGATAATAATTGAAAGAGGGTCGATTTAGTTTTATCGCACACCACTCTAGGCAATCTTACAACGTCTGTAACACTCAGCCTACTTGCACCCACGAAGTTTGACTAAGTATAGAAATACTTAATATGGCAGCGTCAAAAAACCAATAGAATTTACAGGAACCAGTCCCATCCTTTATTAATCTTGAATTAATACAAAGGAAGGCTTCACGAATTAGTCTAAGGCTACAAAAACACTCTGATTCTGCCTTAGACGAATTTCCACCTTTTAATGAAAATTCTGCACAATGACAGTTACATGCGGCGGTTACAAATGACAACTATCCGACACTTGTCATCAGAGGGTTCAAAACTAACTTTCCAACAGCTATATTTCTAACAGATAGAATCTAATTCAAATTACATTCTTATCTACACAAAACACTTATATTCTAACACTTAGAATATTTCAAGCTTCATTCCAACACTTAAAATATTTCTGCAAGCTTCCAACACTTAGAATATTATATTTTAGCTGTCTTCCAATACTTAGTTTTATTTCAGCAATTTCGGGTGAACTGCCTTTGTTCCTGACATTGCCAAGTCTTCACAACCTTGCCTCATCAAGTCAACATGTTGTCTTGCCAATGCCCTTAGCCCGCACGTAAGCCATGCACGTTCAAGCTGCCTTGCCAAAACCCAAGCACCTTGAACTTGTGTTGCACTGTTTTGCCATCATCCATGTCAAGACCAATGCCCAAGTCCTTGACATGTCTGCACATAGTTAGATCAAGTAGTTTGCGGGTCTAACAGATTGATAGATAGAAGAGTGAAGTGGGAGGACGATCAAGTACAAAAATGTAATTTCACGCTAACAAAATTGTATCAAGAAATATAATTAATAGTTGTAGAGACATCTCTTTATATATTAAGTGAATAATGATCAAGGTCAAAAATAGAATTTAATGCTAACAAATCTATAAAAAATGATAACAAAAAAATTAAATATTTCTAGAAACATCCTAAGTTATTGTTATTACCATTAACTTATTTGGTTTTAGTTCACTTTGTTTTTTTATAAGTTATTATGATATCTATTTTATTATCACACTATTTTACTATTAATTTACATTCATTTAATTCTAAATATTTTTTTATTTATTATGCTTATAAAAAAAATGCCTACTTTGTATATAAAAATTTATCATGAATTAATTATTTTCATCTTTATGTTGGATCTAATTAATATACTTGAAGATAAATAAGTGTGACAAAATTGATAATATATATAACATTGAAATTAAAGAAAAAGATGTTGAAAAGTAAATTTATAAATAAAAATGAATAGGATGATATATTTGTATTAAAGACAACTAAGAATAAAAATGTAATTTCATTCTAATAAAATCTATCAAGAATAGATAATTCTAGAAACATCTTTCTATATATGAAGTGATTGATTCTAGAAACATCTTTTTATATATGAAGTGATTGATGATCAAATGTAAAAGTGTAATCCCATGCAAATAAAAATCGACCACAAACGATAAAAAGAAAATTAAATAACTCTAGAAACATCTTTAGTTATTATTATTAGTATTACCTCATTTTTGTTATTTCTTCATTTTATTATGAGTAATTGTGATATCTATTTATTATATGAAAATAACATAAATAATGATTAAGTTTAGCTCTTAATAATTATATATCAAGTATAATTTTAGGTGAAATCAATCAAAACTAAAACTAAAATTTATATGTATATTAAATTTTGTGTATTGAAATAATTTTTTAATTTTGAGATCTTAAGTATGCTATATAAAAAAAATTAAAACTGAGAAGTTATTTTAATTTTTGGAAGAAAATAAAGAATAAGTTCATATAAATCGAAATGGATAGATTCATATATTAAAAATGAAATATATGTGTTATTATTTAAATAACCTTTTATACATTTATAAAAAAAATCATTTGACTTCCTTCTATTAATTTGGGCATATAGTTTTAAAGATTTGAATATTTTAATATAGAAATATAATGATTTGAAAACTTTAATTCTTTTTTATTTCTAGTTTGTTACATATTTGAAAATAACATAAAAAAAAGAAGCTTAAAAACACAATGTAACAATTTAAAAGGTGCATAAATTAATAATTTAAAATATTTAAAAAAACAAATATAAAAAATTTAGTTTATTTTTTTCACATTTCATTTGTGTCACATAAATTGAAGGGAAAAAAACTAACATACGTTGGGTCTGCTTTAGTGCGGGCACCTGATATCGTGTGTGTGTGTGTGTGTGTGTGTTTGTGTGTGTGTGTGTGTGTGTGTGTCTATATATATATATATATATATATATATATATATATATATATATATATATATATATATATATATATATATATATAGAGAGAGAGAGAGAGAGAGAGAGAGAGAGAGAGAGAGAGTTGATGAGACCAACTCTTGGAAGAAGAGTGGTTGCAACAATATAAGCGATAGACCTAGTCTCAAAGGAGAGATCTTTAGGACCAAGATGGGAAGGACGAGGATAAAAGGGATCAATAACAAGTTCACGCTTGGCGTGATCAAAGGAGGCAACACACTTAGAGGGTCAAAATTTTTAGGAGTATCCATGACATCCGAACAAGAGATACAAAAAACAGAATCAATTTTTTGCAGTCGAAGTAAATACGCCTACCAAGAACAAAGGATTTGATTTCTGCTGCCTTAGGGGATCGAAAAATTGCATAAAAGAGTTGAACTAGATGTTCATAAAATTCCATCGAAATGGAGAAGATATTGGCCCAACCTTGAAATTCAAAGAAGGGTTTCATAAGACAGTCTAACAAGGAGAGAATATCAATGTCGACTACATTGCCATGGACAATGGTTTTTGTTTCAAGGAATGGAAAGGAGTTTCATGGGAAGATTTCAAGAAATCTACTTTTTCCTCTAGGGTATTGTCGAAATCAAACTTGAACTTCTTCTTCGAGGAGTTAATGTCAGCAAAGTCAAGGCCAATAGAGGAAGCAGCAGAACTGGAGGCAGCATATCATAAGAACTGTTACAAAACGAGACAAAGAAACACAAGAAAATTTGGAGAATTAATAATTATAGCCATCATTCAATAAAAGAGACTACAACAATATTTATACACAAGAGATTAAGAGGAAAAATGAAATAAACTATCTATAATGTCTAAATATATACTTTACCATACTTAATTTATTTAAATGTATACTCTACCTATACATAGAATGTCTATACAATATTTACAAAATTTTAACATCCCCTCTAAAACTCAAGATGGTTTAGAAGAAATTAGATAGAGTTTGGCAAGCAGAACTTGGAAACATCTAGGAAGATGAGGCTTGGCGAAAACATCAGTTGGTTGATCTAAGAACCCAATAGAAGCTAATTGAATGGCACCAAGATCAATGTGTCGAAGAGTGAAATGACAATCAATCTCAATATGCTTTGTACGCTCATGAAATACATCATTATGAGCAATCTGAATGGCACTTTGATTATCACAATGAAGAGTAGTGGCAGAAGATTGAGCAACTTCATATCACCCAATAACCAACGAAGCCACAATATCTCAGCAATAGTATCAGCAAGTGTGCGATATTCTAATTTGGTACAAGATCGGGATGGTAAGGTTTATTTCTTGCTTCTCCACAATATAAGAGAATCTCCTGGAAAAGTACAATAACCTGTAGTAGAACGTCTATCAATGGATCACGTCCCCAATCAACAT